TTTTTTTTAGCATTTTTAATACTGAGAAAGGTTTTTTTTATAATTTATTTTTTAAAACCAAAAAAATTTTTTTAATTAGTATTTTAATTATTTTGTTGTCGAACTTGATGTCATCATGTGTTAAATACCACATGACAAAAGATATTAATCGCATGAGATATAGCAAATTAATTTATTGATGATGAGAGTTGTATGTCCTGAGGATGATAATTAATACATAAAATATTTCATGTATTAAATGTATTAAATGGAAAGTATATATTTACAGTATTAAATTAATATAATAATTAATAATATAATTTCAATCATCTTTTTGTTCTTTTGCGTCAGAAAATAATTTTTTTTAGATTTCGAGACATTGATCAACAGACTTATGATCATCAGACTAGACAAGCTTTTTTATCAGTAAATGAATACAATGTTCTAAGAATTTTTTTTTTCTTTTTGATAAGGGATTGGATTGATCCGTATTTTTTTTCACAACTGTTATAAAATGTTATTATATAATTTTTTTTAGTTTCTTATTGTTGACTTTCAATTGCGTAACAAACTCCTAGGGCGTTTAAAATAAAGAAACAAAGTATTACTTTTCTAAGCATAACAATCAATGACTAAATTACAGTCGGTCGCACAGTACATTGGAAGATGTAAACATAATTTTTGAAGGCGGGCGTATTGTTTTAAAAGAAACTTAACTAAAGACTGCAGATATCATCAAAGAAAGGTTTTATTTTGGTTTACCGGTAGATTAATCTGTCTTTAGTTAGATAAATGTCTTAGATAGACTTCAAAAATCATTGGATTTTCAGCAATCTTACTTTTCCTCGAATTTGTAGTCTAAGTAGTTGTATTTATTTTTTTTAATTTATTGTGTGGAAGTGAGGTCATGCTTGAGGTGTGATAACATCACAGCGGGGGCAGCGTGGTAAAGAGGGTGGACTTGTTCAAACTCCAGATTTGTTTTATATTTGTATGTCCTTTACTATATAAATAAATAAAATCAATCGTTTTATCATTTGGAGAAAAAAAAAAAATTGACTAAATTACAAAATTGGTAAGGTGCATCATGACTTTTTATATTAAAATCGAGCTTTCTTGATGATCATTTGATTGATTCTTTTTTTGCCCTTCAAATTCATTGAAATTTTAACAAAAGAATTTAAAATATGACGGAAAAGGCAGAAAAAGAAAATTTTTGTTTTGAACTTTTCTATTGCACACAGGTCACACACCTAATATTGCTACACGTGCGGAGCTGTTCCAATTTACGCAAATGCTTTGTTTACATTTAAAAGTGCTAAATGTTTTTGATGGTAAAGAAGTAGCTCATGTTATATATATATGAGGTACTGTACTCCGTTATAAAAAATTTTATACATTTGATTTTGATTTATGATTTTTTTTTACTAATCAAAAATAATTAATCAATTCTTCCTTTCTTTAAAAAAAGAGGATAGATAATTCATCATTATGTCGATTTATTTCACTTTTTTTTTACAAATAATATGCTGACTCTTATTTGTCGTAAAAAAAACAGAGATTGGCTTTGCTTGAAGGTGGAACTAACGCTATTTATACATCATCTGGATAGGCTGCACAATTCGTTGCCATATCAACGATTTTCTCAGTGAGTGATAATTTATTTCGATAAGTTGTTTATATGGTGTGGCTTACATTCAATTTGAGGTATTTTTTTTGTGAACTAAAATCTATCATTTATTTTTTTTTAAACGACGAATAGGTTACACTTCCAAAAATTGGAGATCAATGTCAAGTTCATTCAAGGTGATATCCCGGAAAAATTAGTTAAATTAATTGATGATAAACGAAAGCTGTATCTTAAATCTATGGAAAATCCAAATTTTAATATTCAAGATTTTGAAGCAATTTGTAAGATTGCATATGATATGGGAATACGGTACTGGCAGTACTGGCAAGTAAGAGATGAGAATTTTTTTATATTATTGATTATGTATATACTGTATATCTTATTGGACCAATTGAACATGGTGCAGATATTGTCGTTCACAGTATGTTTATGATCAACTCTTGATTAAGCATCATCTTGAAATGACCATTTGTTAATCGTTAGGCGTAACGAAATGGATCGGAGGCCATGGAATAACAATAGGTGAATACTTGATGGAGGCAAATTTTCATGGAATAATGAAAGATTCCAATTTTACTAATCCAAGTCCTGACTGCCATGGGTTAATTTATTGGGATACATTTGGGTATAATGCCTTTACTATAAAAGCACGTTCAGAAATTATGCGTAATATAGATGAACCATGTCAAAATCCTATTGAATCATTTTTATTAATACAAGGTTTTGAAACTTTATCATTACTAGGAAAACGGAAACTGTTAAAGCCCGTTACGCCCATTTACTCAGTATCTTTTTTATTAAAAAAAAAAATTAATTATGAAAAATAAAAATACGTAACACCAAATAAAATAAGAAATCATCAGTGAAACAAGTACATAATCAAAAAAGGGAAAAGCAGGGGTAATTAATGAGGCGACGTCAGTGGATGGAAGGAAAATTTCATGGGTTAACACAAAAATTGTTAAGTTCGCTCGTTATAAGTACTCTACAATAGAAAGTCCTTCGCTACGTTCCGGACAAAGAGTTCAGAGACAAGCCAAAAATACTTTAGAAATAATCAAAAGACGATGTCCTATGGGATTCATTTCCAGGACGTGAATCACATCCTTATCATGAAAATGCAATATGCGGAATGTTTTTGGATACATTTTTGCTTTTGTTGTTAAAGGTGATGCTAATGTTGGAGCCGCATTAATTGATGCTTTACAACTTACAAGGTAAGGCTAAGGCTAAACCAACTTAATTGATTTTTTTTATTCACATGAAAAATTTATTATTATTATTATATGTCATTTTGCAAATGTGGGAGCGAGATGCAAAAACTCTCGTGATACATCCTGCTTCAATGACACATCAATATATACAATTAACAGACGAAGAGCAATTATTTGCAGGAGTGGAATAAAGAGATGATACGTGTCTCTGTTAGCTGTGAACATATTGATGTTATTATTAAAGAAGACTTTACAAATTAAAGAAATCAAAATAATATTCTTGACTTTATTCACGTAATTTTATTTCACGCTCAAATAATTTTTTATTTTACATCTAGATTAAAGAACGTCATTATTATTATAATATTTTTTTTTTTTTTTTAATGGAGAATGTGAGTTAAAGATATGAATTCATCATTTATAATAGACTTAAAACAATTTATTGAAAATAAAGATTATTTTTGAATCATTATACACTGGAATAATAGTAATATGTGAATATAATTGTTTAGAGTAGTTTTTACAATTAACTGCACGTAAAGAACAAAAAAAAAATATTTGAAACCATAATAAGATGAAAAAAGTCGTACAATACCTTGTAATTATTCAATGAACTCTTTTTTTATTCATCTAAAAAAAAAATTTTACTATATTTAGTTGTTCATTGTAATAAGCTTTAAAATGATTATACAAAAGTAATTACGCCTCAGTTTGTCGTACAAAATTATTTTTATATTTTATATCATGCAAAAGAAAACTTTTTTTTCCATTGTCATACAAGTAATTGCTTCACTTTTTTTCCGTTTCCTTTCTCGTTAATTTATACTTTCCATCATTATCTTCTATGCTGAAATGTTTAATAATTACGCCAAATATTTAAAGATGTTTCTACTAGTTGGTCATATGAATCACAAATAAGTAAAAATAATAAAGTCAGATGTATTAATTGTATTTCATTATGCATTTACTCCGATAAAGTACTAATTTTTAAATTGACTTTTCCATAATTATGGTAAATTCTTAAGATTCCATGAGAAAATCTAGAAATACTTTCCGTATCACCAACAAACGAGGTCAAACTCCTGATAATGTATAATTCAGATATAAATAAACCCAAATTTTCCAAATTCTTTATCTTATCCTTGTTTATAACATATATTAATTATTAATAAAATGGAAATTGTAAATACAAATGATGAAAATTCTTTTGACCCAATTCCAAGATTAAAATCTAGTCCTATACCGATTAAATTTATTTCTTTTAATAGTAATGATGAAAATTGTATTTATTGTGGAGAAAAATATATTGAGCCGCTTTTTTGTTCTTGGCAAAGATATTGCAAAAAATGTTTATCACGTTATATTAATGATATAACTGATAAAAATATTTATTTGGATGTATACTACACAATGGATTTGGAATGCAGTGAGCATGAAATAAGTAGAACAAAAGTAGTGCCACAAAGTATTCAAGAATGCTGTAGAAATTGTGTGATAATTCTATGTTTTAAACGAATACATGGATATTATAAAAACATGTATGATGGTGATTATAGTTTCTTTCATTATAATTATTATAAATCTGATAAAAACACTTCATACAATATGGTGATTGAAATTGAAAGGAATTGTAAATTATGTGAAAAGTCATTATATCAAGGAACAAATGATCAGATTATGAGGAAATCTAAATTATGCTCAGATTGATATATAATTTTTTCTGAATTGACAGAATCAACCTTGGTTAAAAAGCAAATTTCAATTCTTTACTTACCATGGTGGCATAATAATTCTTCGTGTGATATTTGTAAATCAGAGTTAACACTTACATCAGACTGTCAAAAGTATTGTGCGGATTGTTTTATACTTTATGTGGGATGCAGATATTGTTTAACAACAAACATTTTTTTTGGACCTACGGATCAATCCCAATGTAAAAAATGCAAAAAAATATCGCCCATAAATAGTGATTTTGATGATTTTCTTTTAAATAATAATCTTATAACACTCAATAAACTAGATTATGATTATTTAAAATTAGCTAAATTTGAAGTTATAGTAAAAAACATTAATGAATATTTTGTACCACGGGACATAATAGATTTTATATTTTAAAAAAAAAACAAGCAAAGCGATGTAAGTGGATACCATATTCTCAATTTAAAGATGTAAAAGAAATGACAAAGGGAGGATATGGTATTATTTATAAAGCAACTTGGTCAAGTAAAAGTGAAACTGTCGTCTTAAAAAGATTTAAAAATTCGAAATATTTCTTAAATGAGGTAAAATTTTTCTTATATAACTTCTTTTAAATAAACTTAATCTTTAATTTAAATTAATTTTTAAACTTAAATAGATAAAATCAATTAAGTGTTTTAAAGGCAAAAAGAGTCGTATAATTGAAACTTATGGCTTTACAAAAGATCCTGAATTAGAGGATTATATATAAGTTATGAAATATGCATCAGGAGGAGATTTACATAAGCATTTGCAGGAGAATTTTGCAAGGATTACATGGAATAAAGAAAATTATATATTTTACATCAAATTTCAATGGGTATTTATATTTTATATCTTTATTAATTATATTCCTTAAATTTGGGGTACTATTAATTTTTTATATTTTAGACTTGAAACTATTCATAATAAAAAATTTATACATCGAGACTTTCATAGTGGAAACATATTGTATGATTTCAAAGATTCCATTTCTTACATTGATGTAATAGATCTAAATGATGAATGGAAAATTGGAGATCTAGGATTATAACAAGCTATAAATAGTAAATCATCAAATGATGAAATATATGGAGTAATACCTTATATTGCGCCGGAAATATTTAAAGGGTCTAAATTTTCTAAAGAAGCTGATATTTATAGTTTTGGTATGATTATGTGGGAACTTACAACAGGTTGTAAACCTTTTAATAATGTTAAACATAATATTCAACTTATTTATAAAATTCTTGATGGAGAACGACCTAAAATTACAGAAGATACACCAGAATGTTATGTTAATTTAATGAAAAGTTGTTGGGATTCTGATCCAAAAAAGAGACCTTCTATGGAAGTCATTCGTTTGACTGTTGGTAGGTGGGAATTTGAAAATGTAAATGAAAAAGAATTTAACCAAGCTGAGAAAGAAAAAAAGAAATTGATAGAATTAAAGAAGATTGGGCCGGAATTTGCTGAAAAAATGTCATCCAGAAGCTATTTATACAAGTAGGCTATTAAGTGCTTTAATTTCTAAATGTTCGTCCGCATATTCATCAACAATTTCATTTGGCAAGGTATTCAAAAAAAAATGTTGATTTTAATTTAAAATATTATAGTATAATTTACAAGAAAATGTTGTACTCTTTAGATGCTAATTATATCTCTGAACTAGAGAGTAATATAGACACTAAAAGGTATTTAAACTAGCTAAAAAACTTTTTTGTTTTTAAATGATATGACAAATTATTCGAATTTCTGATCTATTCGTTTAGTTTGTCATCACAAAATTTAAATGCTACAATTCAAAATTTTTCAACTACTTTAAATTCTAGTAATTATATCTCAGAAGAATTAAAGCTTGATATAGACACATAAAGGTATTTCAAATAACGAAAAAAATGTTTTTGAATGACAACTAATTATTTGAATTTATTTTTTAAATAGTTTATGGTCACAAAAATTAAATTCTGCAATTCAAAATTTTTCAATCTCTTCGGATTCTAATTATATTTCAACAGAATTAGAGCTTGATATAGACACTGAAAGGTATTTCAAATAACTAAAAAAAAAAAATATTTTTAAATGATAACTAATTATTTAAATTTTATAAATTTTTAACTTAGTTTCTTATCACAAAATTTAAATTCTACAATCCAAAAATTTTCAACCTCTCTAAAAAAGCGAGGAAATGAAGAATTTTTAAATGTTGATACTCATGATAATAATGGTTTATATTTATCTTGCTCGATATTATTTTATTTTAATTTTGTTTTAACGTTACATTAATATTTAATTTTTTGTTATTTAAATCAAATATAAAAATATTGTTTATAGGAAAACGTATTAAAACTAGTTTTAATTATCCATAAAACAATAGAAGAAAAATATTTATTTATTCTACAGATGCAAAGTATTAGAATTATTTAATAATTTTCATTAGGCTTTCTATCCCATTAATAAAAGAATAATGTACTAGCGAAATTAGAATCCAGATATAATAGTATTTTTTATGATTTAAATTTGCCAATTTTTTTTATTCTTTACCGATTATAATTTAATAATTATATATATTTTAATGAATAAATTGTCTATTTTTTTTTAATATTTGAAGTAATTGTATAATCAAATATATACTAATACTTGTTTCCTGGAAGTCACCTATTTTGGTAGATATGTAACTCAATACTAATGGTTTGAACGATGATCATACGTTGTCAACAACAACGTTTACTATTAGTTATAATTTAAAAAATGGATTATATGGACATTAAGCTTTTTAAGCTGACAATAAGTGCAATAGATAAATCACTATATCTTCAAACTATAATATCATGTAACTTAAATCTTTCACTTCATCTTTCAAACCAAACAAAGCCTTATTCCATAATAGCTAAATATTTAATTTTTTGCTTTTTCATAATATATTCTTTTATACAAGGTAAAATATCTTGACCTTCTATATTTTCGATCAACAATTTCTTAATAAAAGTACTATCTTGAATATTTTTTTAGAAATACTTCAAAATCAATTGCTTTAATATAATGGCTCAATTCTAAAAATTTTAATTTAGAAGGAAGGATTTGTCCTAAATTTTGTAATATGATTGAATTACATTCAATACTTGAATTGGATCCTACTATATTGATATTTATCAAAAGATAATTAAGACTGTGTTTTATACTTTTAGCCAAATTGAATATTGGATGAATGAACTGGTTATCAATGTCACGTAATTCAAGATATTTGATATCTTACGGTATTTCATAAAATCAAGAAAATGTTGCTTAAATAAAAGATTACTGCCAAATCCACCAAAATTTTCTAAATAATCACCAGATTTTGTAATAATAAATCTAATGATTCTTCATTCCAACTTAAAAATAAAGATTTTAATTTAAATTGTTTATTTAAATTAATAATTTGTTTAGTTAAATTATTTAAAGAAGAACAATAAGCAATATGAATAGATTCTAAAACATTTAATCAAATATTTTATCTAAATTGATTATATCTTTAAATTGTATTTAAAGTATTTGAACAATTAGAATTGCCTGATAATAATAATGATTTATACAAATAAAGATTACTGAAACCTAATAAAATTTTTAAAAGATTTTGTTGTAAATCAACTATTTGTGTCATACGATTTTTAGTTACCATATTTTCATTATTAAGCTTAATATAAAAGTTCAAATTTTTAATATTCTGAATGAAATTCGTATTTTGTAAGATTAACTCAAAAATATCATCAATATAAGAAATATAACTATATCATTATTGAACTCAATGTTAAATTATGTAATTTTACATCATTTTCGATAAATATTTCAAATAGTGGAGATTATTTCACATACGACTTATAGTTAATCCTGCCTCTTTAAAACTTTACAATTAAATATAATTTTTATTTACATCTTTTTATTATCACTAGTTTATTTTATAAATTATAGAATAATTATTAACATAGATAATTAGATATACGCTTGGGAAAAAGATTTTGTGTCGATTAAAAGTCCTTTTTGGAGTTGTTTGATCAACTTCGTTTAAGGTTACATTTTTAAACATTACAGATAAACGCCCTAATAGGCTATAATCAAAGTATAGTCCAGTTTTAAACTATTAAGATTCTGTTTCTGGATACAGCAAATTTAATTATATTTGATACATATCACATGATAAAGATTATTTCTCTGTTAAATTTTAAACATTTTAGTATTTCAATTAAACTATCCGATCATTATAATTGACAATTATAGTAAAAATATTTTAATAATTTTGACAAATAATCAAATATTATTGTGTTTGCGTTGATAAATATACAAATGCTGCATTCTGATTGGACAAATTTAGTCACATGTTCATTTGCACGTGTACCAATTTTATTTCTTACATTAACATTTTTTTTTTCCATTTATTATTTATTATGGTGATAAGTAACCATTTATTTATTGAGATTATCCAATTATATTACTTAAACAACTTCGTTATGTTTATTAGTACTCATCACTATCACTTATTACTCGTCACGTATCGATTTAATCACCTTCTGATCACGTAATTGTAACATAAGTGTTTATTTCGGTTAAAATAAATTGCGCAGTCCGATTGGTATTAATTTGGTAACATAAAATAATGGCGCACCAATAAATGTTGATGATAACCAAAAATATATGGAAATTTCTTATCACACAATGCAGATCTGTGCATCGGACAAAAGCGGACCGAAAAATTGATGTAACTTAAATATTCCTTTTAAACAACTCAAATCATAATACAAAAAAAATTTGTTTCACCTAAAAATTTCGTCCAAAAAAAAATAATATATTTTTTCCAGTAAAATAAATCTCTAAAATAACTAATGGAATTTAATAAATTAAGTATCTCAGACAAAGATACTGTCACAGTAAACACCAAAAATTGTTCATATTGCAATAAACCTTTTACCGAAGAATTATGGTGTAAAGAATGTATTAATTCATTAGAAAAATTAGCAGAAAATAATGATAAGGAAACAATGCTTAATTTAGCCAACTGTTATAAAAATGGAATAGGAACAGAAAAGAATTTAGAAAAAGCTTTTTATTGGTATCAAAAAGCAGCAGAAAATGGGAATGAAGAAGCAATGAATAGTTTAGCCAAATGTTATTTTAATGGAGAAGGAACAGAAAAGAATTTAGAAAAAGCATTTTATTGGTTTCAAAAAGCAGCAGAAAATGGTAATGAGCCTGCAATGTTTAATTTAGCTAATAGGTATAGAGATGGAGAAGGAATAGAAATGAACTTAGAAAAAGCATTTTATTGGTATAAGAAAGCAGCAGAAAATGGTGATGAAGAAGCAATGAATAATTTAGCCCTTCGTTATTACTATGGAGAGGGAACAGAAAAGAATTTAGAAAAAGCATTTTTTTGGTTTCAAAAAGCAGCAAAAAATAATGATAAAGAAGCAATATTTAATTTGGCTGCATGTTATAAATATGGAAATGGAACAGCAAAGAATTTAGAAAAAGCCTTTTATTGGTATCAAAAAGCAACAGAAAATGGGGATGAAGAAGCAATGTTTATTTTAGCCATATGTTATATGGATGGAGAAGGAACAGAAAAGAATTTAGAAAAAGTTTATTATTGGTATCAGAAAGCAGCAGAAAATGGTTGTAAAAAAGCAATGAATCATTTAGCCTTATGTTATGAAAGTGGAGAAGGAACAGAAAAGAATCTAGAAAAAGCTTTTTATTGGTATCAAAAAGCAGCAGAAAATGGTTGTGAAATAGCAATGCATAATTTAGCCTTATGCTATAAAAATGGAGAAGGAACAGAAAAGAATTTTGAAAAAGTTTGTTATTGGTTTCAAAAAGCAGCAGAAAATGGTTACATTGATGCAATGTATAATTTGGCTGTATATTATTTTAATGGAGAAGAAACAGAAAGGAATTTAGAAAAAGCCTTTTATTGGTATCAAAAAGCGGCAGAAAATGGATGTACTGATTCAATGAATAATTTAGCCAGATGTTATGATTATGGAGAAGGAACAGAAAAGAATTTAGAGAAAGCCTTTTATTGGTATCAAAAAGCGGCAGAAAATGGTAGTGCTGATGCAATGAATAATTTGGCTGATAGTTATCATTATGGAAAAGGAACAGAAATGGATTTTGAAGAAGCCTTTTATTGGTATCAAAAAGCGGCAGAAAATGGTAGTGCTGATGCAATGAATAATTTAGCTGATAGTTATGATTCTGGAGAAGGAATAGAAATAAATCTTGAAAAAGCTTTTTATTGGTATCAACAAGCAGAAGAAAGTGACAAAATGAGTCCTATAAAGGAAGTTAAAGACTGTAATGAATGCAAACAACAACATACTGAGTACCAGTGGTGCAAACAATGTAATACTGAACGAATTCAAAAAGATTTCTCAAAGTGGACTAGTAAAAATATATTTATTGATAAATTTATTCAAGAGGCACAGATTAGTGCTAAGAATAGTTATGAAATTTTAGAGTGGATACCTTATAATAAATTGACAAATATTAATTATTATGGTAAAGGAGGATTTAGTGAAATTCATAAAGCTATCTGGTCAGATGGACCTATTTACAGTTGGAATTCTGATGAACAACAATGGAATAGACAAGCAGAATATGAGGTTATTCTTAAAATACTTAATAATTCACCAAATTTAAATAATAAATTTCTGGATGAGGTATAGTACTTATATTTAATAAGCAAATTTTATTCTATTTTGCAAATATTTAATAATTTTTTATTATTTTATAGTGGAAATATCATTATAATTGCCAGAAAAAATCATTTTCAAAATTTATTCAAATCTTTGGAATTACTCAAGATCCAAATAATTTAAATTATATAATAGTAATGAGCTATGCGAAAAAAGGAAGTTTGAGAAAATGTTTGCCTGATATAGTTAAATTTAAGTGGCAAAACAAATTACAATTATTGAAAAAAATTGTATTAGGACTTAAAGTAATTCATGAATCAGATTTAACTCATGGCGATTTTCATGATGGTAATATATTAATGTCAGATGATTATAATGAGTTATTTATTATTGACTTGGGATTATGTAAACCTATAAGTGATTTACAAGATTCTGATGATAATGAAATTTACGGAATTTTGCCTTATATGGCGCCTGAAATATTAAGAAGAAATCCCTATACTAAAGCAAGTGATATTTATAGTTTTTCAATGATAATGTGGGAATTTACATCAGGTAATCCCCCACTTAATAATGAAGCACATGATCTTGAACTTAGCTTAAGTATTTGTGAAGGTAAACGTCCCAAAATTATGGAAAATACTCCAAAATGTTATATAGATTTAATGAAAAAATGTTGGGACCCAAATCCTTCCAATAGACCAACCATAATAATGCTTGAAAAAATCATATCTGATTGGGTTCAATGTATTAATAAATATTATGAAATAAACAGGGATGGAAAGTATAAACATGTAGTACCTGATGTTTATAATCAATTAAAAAATGATATGTTTGAATTTGTAAAGGCAAATGAAGCTAATTTAGTACAAGAGCAAGTAAATACTTCTATTATTCAATCTCATTCACAAGCATATTATACAAGTCGCAAGCTTAGTGAAATTTTAATTCAAGAAGATTCTCAAAGTTTTGATGATTGTAAAATCGAAGATTAATAATCCCATTATTAATCAGTACTGAATGGTTTAAAGCAAACTGAAATTATAATTAAATAGTAATTTCTACTTGATAGTTGGTTACTGTAAAGTTGTAAAATTTTATTTTTATATTTTTGATTTTTTTTTTGCCATTACAGATTAAATTTTTTATTTATCATTAGTTTTCTATAGTTATTATAAAGTTTTAGCTTGTTTAATGGTAAACTTTTAATTAGTTTTAGTTTAAGTATATATGTATTTTCATATATTAATTAAACATTATTTACTAAACGTTTTTATATATTAGCACGAGTCATTTCAATTTTGAATTACTAAAAAAGTCTTCTTTATAATGTTGTTAAGATCTTATGATATTCATTTCATATTTTATTACTAAATTCCATTTCCACCTACAATATATATATATATAAACTACTTGTTTGCATTATTTGTAAATTTTAAGTTAATAAAACCCCTATTTACTTTTTTTAAATTTTGTGACTATATTTTTTCACATTCAGCAGTTAGCGCTAATTTCATAAACTGAATTTTAATTAACATGATCGTATAAGATATAAAATTAACTCAGATAAAGTATAACATTCTTTCTTTATGCATTTCAAATTAAAACATATGTAGTCAAAGTATAAAATTTGATTGTGTGTAACAAATACGAGTAAAATGTTGAAAAATTATTATGGTAAAGATTTTATTATGCTTGTCTTTATAATAGTTTTTTAATTGCTTGTTAAATTTAATAATAGTCTAATATTTAAAAAAGATAAGTCTTAGGAATGGAACCTAATGATTACGAAACCATAACGATTATTACATAATTTTGGTAATGATCATATTATTCTACAAGTTGATAACAATTTTCACATCATTCTGGTAATGATATCCTCATATTTATTCTACAAATACTATATATATTGGTTGATAACGATTGTTAATATTCTGGTATCATTGTCCACTAACAACAAATTCGCAGATTGTGGCTATTCCTTCGGGATTCTGGTTATCCACTATTATTCTCCTCCGCTAACTCCTCCAGTAACACCTAAAAAAATTCCGCACAGGGCCGGAACTATGGACGTTTATGCCAGCATTATGATTTCACGTGTCAAAACAGTGATGACTAAGGGCATAACAAATAGGAATTTTACTAACCAAAAAAAAACGTGTCCCTCAGATACTTATGAAAAATGGAAATGTGGAGAGGTGGACACGTGATGATTAAATTTACCGTTGCGGAATTTTTTCTAAGATTTTCTGCGCCTTTATGGAGTAGCCTGCATCACGTGAGTTGATTTTTCAATTTCATTGGCAATTTTAGTGACACGTGCAGGAATATCATCAGAGATTTTTTGCCAGAGAAATTGCCACATGGTAGTGATCTCTAAGAATGTAATGAGTAAAAAACCAGCGGTATGGCCCAAAATGGCATGTTTCCCGAAGAGCTGAATGATGTGGTCACAAAGGGACCTGTTAAACAGGACATGGCTAGATAAAGCAATACGTTTGTTGGTGGGTCAATGTTTGATTCCTTAGATAATAACTGTTAGAGACTGTAATCTTTACAAAACCAGGAGACAAGATCCTTTAATGCTTATTCCCACTGCACGGGAAATTTAACCGCGTGCCTAACAAAAAGTGCTAAAGAGAACGATGATAATTTTTCACTATTTTTACATCATCTGGTGTGAATAATACAATCGTGATAGATGATTCATGGATTTTACCGCTGTTCATATCAAGGATGGTAACCAGGGGTAATTACCCAAAATAATGTGTTGAGTTACGCAACCTTATCCCAAATTGGTATAATGATCGAATAACCTCTTAATCACTTGACTTTATAAAGCAGAATATTAATAATACAGTTCAAAGCTGATGATACCGAAAAACATGACTAAGCGAGCAACATGAATATATTTCTTGGTGGATTATTGAGCGATTGTCATAATATTTTATTCAAATTTTAATTTATTGTTTAAATTAGAGGGTTGGTCCAATTGTTTTTTTAACAGACGATTCAGGCGCAGAAAGAAATGCATTGCCTGAATGGTAAAACTTATTTAAAAACATAAAAAGAACTATTATTACAGGAATTCGCCTTTTGTGTACATTCCATTTCCTTCAAGCATTTAAAGGTGGCTTCAGGACTCAAAACATAAATTAACTAATAAGGAAGTTGGAACACTCATCATGAAAGGACAAAGAGAATCTTATATGCGCAAACATTTGTAGCAATGGATGCAAATTATGATTAAGAGATTTTTGTAATTACCAGCAGCTAATGAAGCATTTTGAACTTACATGGGAGCGCCAAGAATAGTGAGCTTTGTCCTTTCGTATAGACCACTGATGGTGTGATGGAAATAAAATTATCAAGAAAGCAAATAGAAAAAAAGTAAATAAATTTGTACGACAGACTGTGGCATATATTATATAATCATTTTTTATAGTATGATCATGAATTTCATTCTAATATTTAATTTAAACATAAAAAGTGGTTTATTGAATAATAATAAGTTACTTGACTTTTTCTATTCTTATTGTGATTTTCAAATATTTTTAACACCGTGCAACAGTTTACTGAAATTATTCTAAATAATTTATAAAATTATCTTCACCCAAAAGTGCGTCAGAAACAAATATTAGTACATTCGTATGTCAGTATTCGACTTAACAATTTCTTATATATATAAAAAATAGAGTTTATTTATAATACGTAACATTACATTATTTTCTTATACAGTTTAACAAAAGATTAAGTCGATAAAAAATTATTACTGTATAGCACTAACTAGGTAGTAGGTACCCCATTATAATAATATACTTAAGTATGATAAGTATGATATGTGGTTAAGAATTTTAATTCTAGTAGAATTAAGCAAATTCCGGCCAATTTTTCCATGTTCCTTATAATTCAATTTTTAAATAGGGTAAATTGATTTATGTCCGGGGTATTTTAGTCAGTGATATACAAAATTCATTATTATACCACAATGGTAAGTAAAGAATTAAAATTTGCTCTTTAACCAAGGTTGAAATCTATACATTCGGAAGTAACAGATAACAATCTAAACATAAATTAATGTTAGTCATAACTATTCTTTTGAAATAATAACTCTCCAAGCGTCTTAAAATATTCTTCTCCACAATAAATACAATTTTTGTACTTTTTATTAAAATAAAGTAATATTAATAAATTTATTTTAATCTAGATAAGAAATAAATAATAATATCATTATTTATACGTAAAAATAAAAGTATGTGAATAAAAATCTTTTAAGAATATTATTCGATTTCTTTAATTTTTTCAAATACAATTACAAAATCTTCTTTAATATCATCGACATGTTTAAATAATTGTGAGGATGTATCACAAAAAGTCTTCACGTCATCAAAATAATAACATAAATAAATAAATAGTACATAATAGAAACCATCTTAATTAAAAAAAAAAGTAATTTCCAAATGGAAAAAAAATTCAATCAAATTAGTTTGGCTTACTTTACAAGACGTAAAGAAATAACGCCATTACGATATCATCAACTATCTTGCTTCTACTCTTAGTAATAAAATTTCAAGACTTTTAACATGATATGACCTACATTACATATAATTTTTGAACGTAAGCACGAATTCTTTTTGTATTTGAATTTTCTCCAAATTTAATGAAGTAAAATAAAAATGCAATTCACAAGTAATATCCTCATTCAAGTTAGCAAGCGAACCCAGTTAATGTGGTAAATTCAATTTGTGTAACAAATGAATACCGCAGCGTTTATGAAATAAATAACATACCTCCTACTACTCTTTGTGTTTACCATATATTTATAGTGAACAAAAAAAAAAGATATGAATGTGAATGTGCAAGTTAATAAGCCTACTTAACCTCTAAACCATTTATTTATTATTTGGCTTTTGTCATTTTACGAAAAATTATTACACGATTATTAGAATCGTGCGTGCGGACTGTACCGATGATTTTTTTCATTTCTAATCATAATAATACGCACACTAATCCTAATGATAGTATAATAATATTGTTATTAGAACGGGCTATATCGGTCTTTGAGACTTTGACAGATATTTTGACGCCTGTTCAATAATACAAAATATTTAAGTTTAATTTTTTCTATGTCAGTAGTTATTTGTAAAAAGTAAAAACTATAATTCTAAACAGTCACCAAAATTCTAAAATTATAAATTATGTAAGATATTTCTGTCTTATAGTAAACTTGGTGATAAATTCATTGGCAACGAACGATAATTAACATTTTCTTCGTAGTATAAATTCATTTAACTTTACGTGATCCTCTCTCAAATTATTACGTCCGGTGACTTCCAAGTAACAAGTATTATTACTCATTTATTCGTTTTTATTCTACATTTACTTTAAGTATATAAAAAATAATAGACAAAAACGTTATATATTTATTATATTTGTAGTCTCTAGTATATGAAATAAAAAAAATTATAAATTCAAGTCTCAAATAAATTCTAATTTCTTTTACATTATTTTCTTTTAATAATGAAAAAGTCTGATAAAAATTATTGAAAAACATATGTTGATAACGAAATATTTTAGTTCTATAGTTTTATGGATAATTGGAACTAGTTTTAATACGTTTTCCTGCTTAATATTTTTTTTTAAACAAAAAAGTTAAATATTAATGTATTAAAACAAAACAAAGCAAAATAACATCGAGCCAGATAAATATTTACCACTATTATCATGAGTTTCAAGTACTCCGTTTCTTCTCTTTTTTAAAGAGGTTGAAAAATTTTGAATTGTAGAACTTTTAAATTTTGTAATGATGTACCAAATAAAAAATAAATTCATATAATTAGTAGTTTCAAATAAACCATTTTTTTTATTGTTATTTTTAAATACCTTTCAATGTCTATATCAAGCTCTAATTCTGCTGAAATATAATTAGATTCTAAAGCAGTTGAAAAATTTTGAATTGTAGAATTTAAATCCTGTGATGATAAACTAAACGAATAAATTTAATAAATTCAAATAATTAGTTACGTCATTTAAGAGCAAATTCTTTTTGTTTTTTGTTATTTTAAATACCTTTCGGTGTTTATATCAAACCCTAATTCTGCTGAGATATAGTTAGAATTTAAAGTAGTTGAATAATTTTGAACTGTAGAATTTAAATTTTGTGATGACAAACTAAACAAATAAATTATCAAATAATTAGTTACGTCATTTAAAAACAAACCAATTTTTTTTTGTTATTTTAAATACCTTTTATTAGTGTCTTTCTAATTTTGAGACATGATTAGAATCTGAAAAGTATAACAAATAATAAGTATAACATATTTCTTACTAATTATATAAATAATGAATTTATATTACAATCAATCTTTTTTGTAATACCTTGCTTACCAAATGAAATTGTTGATGATGAATAGATGGATGTACATTTAGAAATTAAAGCACTTAATGGCCTACTTGTATAAATAGCTTCTGAATGACGTTTTTCAGCAAATTCGGGTCCAATCTTCTTTGATTTTATTAATTTCGTTCTTTTTGCTTCAGCTTGATCAAATTCTGCTCCATTTACACGCCTAAATGCCCACCTATCAAAAGTTGAGCGAATGATTTTTATAGAAGGTCTTTTTTTGGGATCAGCATCCCAACAACTTTTCATTAAACTAGCATAACATTCTGGTGTATCATCTGTAATTCTGGGTCGTTCTCCATCAAGAATTTTATAAATAAGAGTATGATCATGTTCAACATTATAAAAAGGTTTACAACCTGTTGTAAGTTCCCAGATAATCATACCAAAACTATAAATATCAGCTTCTTTAGAAAATGCAGACCCTTTAAAGATTTCTGGTCCAATATAAGGTATTACTCCATATATTTCATCATTAAATGATTTATTATTTACAGCTTGTGATAATCCTAGATCCCCAATTCTCCAACGATAATTTCTACCATACAATTATTTTTTAAATCAAATAATATGTTTCCACTATGGAAATCACGATGCATAAATTTTTTATTATGAAATGTCTCAAGTCTAAAAATTTAAAAAGAATTAATAATCTAAATTTAATGATTATAATAAATTAATTAAATTTAAATAAACGTACCCTCTTGAAATTTTCCATAGAATATGTAGTTTTCGATTATTCCATGTAATTTTTGTAAAATTCTTTTGCAAATACTTATGCAAATCTCCTTCTGACGCATATTTCATAACTAATATATAATCATTTAATTCAGAATCTTTTGTAAAACCATAAGTTTTGATAATACGACCACTATATTTTTTACAACATTGTTGATATAATTTTAGCTATTAAATTTAAGTTATATTAAAAATTAAATTTATTTAGTAAAAAATTGTAAGAATATTTTAATATTTACCTCATTTAAAAAATATTTGGCCATGTTTTTAGATTTTTCAAATCTTTTTAAAACAACAATTTCGGTAATACATCTTAACCAAGTTGCTTTATATATAATACCATAACCCCCTTTTGCTATTTCTTTGATATCCGTAAATTGAGAATATGGTATCCATTCAATTACACCTTTTTCTATTTTAATAAAGATAGGGCTTAATATATCTGGTACTCGAAAATATTTATCGATATTTTTTATAATTTTTGAAAATTCAGCTAACTTTAATTTACATAAATTATCATATGCAATATTACTAAAAATGAAATCATCAAACTCACTATTTATAGATGATATTCTTTTACATTTTTTACATTGAGACTTATATACAGGTCCAAAAATAATATTGGTGGTTAAACAGTATCTGCATCCAGTATAAAATATATAACAGTTCGCACAATACTTCTGACAGTCTGATATATATGTACACATCGAGTCGCATGCGTCACAATGGGTTCCATCATGCCACCATGGTAAGTAAAGAATTGAAAATTGCTTTTTAACTAAGGTTGATTCTATACATCCGGAAGAAATTAAATAACAATCTGAGCATAATTTAAATTGCTTCATAATCTCACTATCTGTTCCTTGATATAATGATTTTCCACATAATTTACAGTATTTTTCACTTTCAATCACCTTATTGTATAAAGTGAGAATATTTTTATCGGGTCCATAATAACTAATGATATTTCTATTTAATTGTTTAAAACATAAAATTCTCACACAATTTACACAGCATTCTTGAATACTTTGTGGTACCTTTGTCCTGCTTATTTCATGTTCATTACACTCCAAGTCCATTAATAGTATACGTCCAAATAAGTATTACTATCATTTATATCATTAATATAACTCGATAAACATTCTTGGCAATAATTTTGGAAATAATGAAGAATCTCAATATATTCTTCTCCACAATAAATACAATTTTTATCCTGCCTATTAAAAGAAATAAATTTAATCGGTATAGGACTAGACTTTAATCTTGGCGTTGGATCAAAAAATTTTTCATCATTTGTAGTATTTACAAGCTCCATTTCATTATGTTAATTAACAAGTATTGATAACTTAATTAACAAGTATTGATAACGATAAAATTTGGAAATTTTGACTGTACTGTATTTATATCATTATTAAGAGTTTCAATTCCGTTTGTGATACAGAAAGTGTTTAAAGATTTTCTCATGGAAAATTCGTTAAGAATTTCTTTTTTGAAGTTTTTATTATTATGGGGTTTTATTTGTACATCAGTCACACAAACATGGTATATATATACTACTTGGAATAAAAATGTTCTGCATTTTTGCCACGAAATATTTGGAATATTCTAGATTACAACAGAAAGTTCTTTTTTAAATTTAGAAGGATTTTATTAAAGGCCATTATAACTTATTTAGTTGGCGCATCAATTAGGTCCACACTAATCATATGAGAATGGTATACATCATCAGCTGATTCTAATAAGGCTAAAAGAGAAAAAATAAAGTATAATTATTAATTAACCATTTTTAATAAGCTAGATTGGCCTGATACGCGATGACCAGTTAATCGATATATTTAATCGCATATAACATATTAATTGTATTACTCCCATATTAATTAAAAAGATTAATTTGTAACTTATCTATAAAAAAGAAACAGCAAATAAAAAATTTGGTTAGAGTTTCATGTGATCGCAATACGTTTATTAGAAGTTTAGAACCACAATTTCACGGGGTAAATGTGCCTCCACAGCCGTAAATTCTCGATAAGAATCTCTTCTAAAGTAAAACTAGCTGTGATCTGTTGCTTGCAACGGGATTAATTTATGTTAATATGCCGCTCGTCTACAAAATTTATACCCATGACCTTTTTCCTTTTTCTGCTACAGGCTTGTCTTTCTTTACATAATCTTTTTTACGTTTATAAAGGCACCTCAACTTCAAATATTTTCTGAAAAAAGCCATTTGGATTACGCGAGCATTAACAATACTTCACATTATATTTATAGAAAAATTGATGCATAGTATACGAAAGAAGTATGGCAGCCACATTGGGCTCGAAAAATGGAAATTTTTTTTTTTTATAGTAAAAAATTTTATCACGTGATTTTAAGTTTTTGGCCAAACATATGAAAAATTTTACGTATATATAAAAAAAAATGCTGGCCGGCCGGGTCATTTTAAAAATTTTATGTCACGAGAATCTAAAATTTTTTTTTGCCCGGCCTTAGTATCATGGAAACATATCTAATTTTATATCATTAAAATTTACTACAGCTTGGAAACAACCAACAAAAAATCACAATAAAAAATGAACGATAAAAACAATAATAGCAAAAAAAAGTCTTTTAATGGCATTAATTATTATTAATAATTAAATAAACAAAACTCTACAAAATAAAAATAAAAAAATCTATTTAACAAATCACAACTAACTAAAAAATTTTTTTTTTTTGGTTTTTGAAAAAAAGATCGAAAATGAAAAACTATTTTCCGGTTTGAACGGAAAAATAATTATTTTCGGTATTGAACTAAAAACCGAACAGTTTGAATCAAAAAAAAGAATTGATTAAAAAAAAAAAATTTATTCTTCTGTATTGAATTAAAAAACCTAAAAAACCGGAAATAAAAAATTTATCTTCGGTTTGGACCGAAATAAAAGATTTAATTTTCGGTACTGAACTAAAAGTGAAAAACCGATAATTAAAATTTTTTTTTTGAAAAAATTTCAGAAATTATAAAATAAAAAGGCAACTGGATAGCTTCATTGTTGCGGCCGATCACATCGTAAATTAAACTTTTTTTCGTTAGCGCAAAAAAAAATTCAATTATCTGTTATTAAGTCATAAGGATGCACACATGACTCTGACAGCCAATCAAATTATGGAATAGATCAGGCGCAGACGTATCACGCGGTTCTATGCTGCGGGGGACTATTCTAAATGTCAGATGGCCAGATTTTTAAATTACAATCGAAAGTTCATTATTATTATTATTTTATTTATTTTAGGTAATTATTACAAAATTATATCTATTGTTTATTATACTATTGTACATTTTAATTATAAAGTGATTTTTTTTATATGCAAACATAATGCCATGAGCCCATGACAATTAAAAAGCTCATAATGAATAATTATTGACAAAATATATTTAATATAGTTTACACTTAATAAGGAAATATTTGTAACATTTTTTAATACTTTGTATAAATAATAATTATGAACGTCCAAGTATCAATTTATTGTTAATCCGTAGCATTAATTAACTAACAAAAATAAGAACAAATTATTTATCCCAAAAAGCCTTTCATTGGTGTCTAACGATTTGTTTGAATTTGTCACACATTCCGTTACAAATTTCCCAGAGTAACCTAAAAAAAAATGAATATTACTATGCCACCCGTATGGATTACCCACTTTAAATTTCCAGGAGTATCTTACAATTTTTTCTTTTTTGTTGCATTCTGGTAAGTTGGACACATGATTTTTCCCACGTCCTTTTTCTTGATTATTAATATTAATGATTTTTTTCAGTACCTGTTCTAAATTAGCCTAAAAATTGAAAAAAAAATCAATTATCAACCATATTTGGTTAATATAATTATTAATTCTATCTTAATAATTACAAATTTTTTACCATAGTTATTTTTTTTTTTACACTAATCATACTTGGTTACCAATTTTGTAATTTTAAGTCGTATTTAAATAATCTTTAAGTCGTTGAGTAGGTTCTACTCATCATACTAATAAAGTTTCTTTAGTATGGGCAACATTTCTAGTAGCAATCCAAAGTACACTTCAGCAAGCAACAGCAGTTCATTCAGTTCAAGCAAGAGTCCAAACAACAGTACAAACAAAGGTTTAAGCAAAAGTACAAACGACGATTCAAGCAGTACAAACGATGGTTCAAGCGACGACGGTTCAAGCGACAGTTCAAATGAAAGTTCAAGCGATAGTTCAAACAGTAGTTCAAGCGATATTATTCGATATAATGTAATCAAAGATAAATTAAAAGATGAGGAACTTGATAAGTCACTTGAGTTGTACAAACGACAGCTTAAGCAAAAGTACAAACGACGGTTCAAGCGACAGTACAAACGACGATATAAAAGTGACAGTACAAACAATGATTCAAGCGATAGTTCAAACGGCAGTGATATTAGTCAGTATAATGTAATCAAAGATAAACTAAACGATGAGGAACTTTGTGAGTCACTTGAGTTGTACGAACAACGATTCAAAAGCGACAGTACAAACAATGGTTCAATCGATAATATTGATTGATATAATATAATCAAAAATAAATTAAAAGTTGAAAAAATTTATAATTCACTTGGGAAGGAGGAACTTAATAAATTGATACTTAGCCTCGGGGATGAAACAAGATTTTTAAATCGATATCTCAAGCTTGATGATAATCATTTGGATAAAATAAATAGAGATTTGCAAAAATTAGATCGCCTTCAAGGAAATAATTTTATTCCAAGTGAGGAAGATGGGAGGGATTTGGTAAATGATCTATTGCGGCGCAGAAGGGAAACTGACAAATTTAATGTTTATTTGTTTATTGAAAAGCTTTCAGATAATCGTTCGGACAATTCATTTCTTCGATATTTAGCAAATTCTCTGTTTAGAAACAAATATGGAATGTTCCACGTTGGATTAGAGATAGATGGAATTGTCCTAGAATGGGGCACCGGTGACGCTGGTCCTCATCTTATTTATCCAAGAATCAATACAAATCGATTATATGAAAAGATTGCACATATTCGTATCAATTACGATTCAAATTTTGATCGAGAATTTATCTTTACATCGAATATTTTCTTGCAGAATTGGAAATATCATCTACATAATTTTTTGTCTGTCATCTTAGATATAATGAGAAAGTTAAAATCTTTTGCTATATGAGAATTGGTATTATGCCTTCTAATAAATTACAAATCATTGCACAAAAATGTGTTAATTGGAATAAGAATTTTTATTATAATCCAGTAAATCGTAATTGTCAACGTTTTATTGAAGAAATACTCGAAACACTTGGTTTAAAATTTAATCCTGAAGGCGAGTTTAAAAGGTTTCTGGATAGAATTGTTGAGTATGCAGATGATAGATTCTTGTTCGAGGATAGAGAGTTTCTTTCGAGACAAGAACTTGATCAATTTACTGATCAGAATTGGGATAAGATCACAAATGTTTGGGACAAAAAATTACTATTATGTTATTCAAATATGATGAATAATATGTACAAGTATAAATATGACGAAAAATGGGGTCCTATTAATAACAAAGAAAAATGGTTAGTAAGAGAATACGAACTAAGAACAGATTAAAATGTATATTTTTTATTTTCATATTATAGTTGTGTATTTATATTTATTTATTTTCATGCTGTGAGGCGTGAGCTGCTGAAAATTAATAAAGTATTACTTATTGTTGCATTGAAGTTCTATTATACGTAAATGAAAAAAACAAAACTAAATAAAATTTGTACGACAAAATTGAGGTTAATTACTCCACTAGCCGGTAATGATTTTAATGCTGGCCAAACTTATCATAGTGCGGGTCAAATTATACAGTATTACAAGCGTGATCGAGTATCGATCATCACCAATAAAACTCACCGTCTTTTAAGTTGAAATTATGTAAGACTTAAAGAGTTCATACGCTACCGTATTTATTTTGCAGTTTTTTAGTTTTTTTTGAAATAAAAATGCATATTATCTCTATAAGATACTAAGCGATCAGTCATAATTTATTAACATTATTTTTTTTAATAAACATCAAACCTGATAAATTATTAATACTTGTTTCATATTTGAGTCACGGAACATTTTAATTTCTATAGTTCTACAAATAATTGAAATAATTGGAACTAGTTGACTATTTTAAATGTTTAAAATATAAAAATAAATTATTATTAAGTAACATAAATATGTATTAAAACAAAAGGCAAAACAAAATAAAATAATAAAATAATATCAAGCTAAATAAATATTTATGGTTATAGGTTCTAAGGTTTAAAAATACTTCATCTCTCTTTTCTAAAAAGATTGGAATTAGTTTATTATTAGTTTAACAAAATTTTGATCAACAACGATGTTTGATAAATTAAAAATGTCAATTATTTATCGATTCGGACCTAAATTAAAAATGCAAATACATTCATAACCGATTTGACAATGTTTTAGAAAGTTTTTTTTTTTTTTATTATTGTGGACTTTTGTTTACACGTTAATTTTTACGAAAACTTATTATTTATGATTCCTTAATGATTCGAATTTTTTATATAATTGAAAATCGATTCATTTTCCTCGTACTATGTAAAAACTTGAGTTGCCAACTCGCTATCGAGCTGGACAAAAGGTATATATATCATTACTTAATATCATGTAAACATCTAAAGCATTAGGATTAAAAAATGTGCGGTTAAATCTTTTCTTTGAAGGAAACACATTCCTCCTAAACATCGAACGTGATACATTTCACATGATGTTTATACAATTATTAATCCACCGGCATTAATTTGATCTTCAACCAAACCTAAACTAACGAAAATAGGTTAGAACAATTAACAATAATTTATTAATAACTAGCTGGATTCCCGGGCCTAGCTAATTAAAATTATGAAAATCAGATACCTTTCTGCTAAGCTGTTATATAAAGTCTAGAATGGTTATTAGCATTAATTTGGAATTTTGTGGTAAATAGGGAATCATAGGCTGTGTATGACAAGTGATTTTACATTACATTGACAAAATAAAATAATAATAAAATATAAATAATATGCAATACATTTTTTATTATATAATAGTTATTATAATAGTTATAGTGATTCATTAGGAAGCCGGGCAAACCTAAAAAAAACATCCAAAGAATCATTAGACCTAAAAAAAGGTACCAAACTTTAAAAAAAGAAAAGAAAAAATGATTAGTAATTACAAAAAAGAATTTTTTTAAAAAAATTAAAGATATAATTCAAATTAACCTTCACTCTGAAAGGCACCACCAAAACCTAAAAAGAGAAAAGGGTTGTTCCCTACAAAAAAAAAGTTAAATTAGTGACATTTTTTTAAAGTTTAAAATTCATTTCAGAACTTACCTAAAGTTCTCAAAAAATTGATCATCTACTAAAAACAAGAAAAGAATGAAACATCAATAATGTTTCATTAAAGAAATAATGTTAGGAAAATTTTATTTACCAAAATTTACATCTGTCCCAGGTGTTGCAGTACTGTCTAAACTACAAAATATAGAACACGAAATGTTAGTTAATGTTTCATTTCATTAAGAAATAAAAAAATTAATGAAAAACACTTACAAATTCCATGTCTGGAAAGACCCAAAGAGCCACCCTACAGAATGCAAAAATAAACATTAGTAAACATTTCATTAACTAACATTATGTTAAAAGAAGCATTTTAAAAGAACCTACTAAAATTTCACACGTCCAGAATCACGAACAAACCATATAAAATTTTTTGTTAAAAATTTTTAAAAGTAAAAATACTCACCACAATTCTGTTCGTGTATAAATTATTCCTTATTCAGTCATCTAAAAAAATGAAAAATCAAACTGTTAGAAATGTTTGATTAAAAGAAATGTATTAATTCCTTCCTTACCAAATTTCCATGCGTCTGAAGACAAACCAAGAAAACCACTGAAACCTAAAAAAAGAAAGACTTTATTTTTTTGGTTTTTTCTTGGTTTTTTGCATAGTTAATAAATACCTGTATTTCTGTTATTAGAAATGTTCAATTCCCTTTAGAAATTAAAAATTAAATGTAAAAGAAAAGATGTATTTTTTTTAAAAGAAAGGGATTTTTTTTTCGTTATGTGGGAAAATTCAGAAACTGAAAAATATTTTTTTAAAAAAAAAAGAAAATTCGTCATATGGGAAAATCTAAAAAGCAAATTTTTTTTAAGAAAACAATGACGATTTCTAAAAAGACAATGTGAAGAATTTCATTGTTACGATTATAGCTTAATATTTTATATTACAATTACTAATTGGATTAGTTGCTATAATTTGTTTTTACGCCAATCATTTATGCAGCCTAATTCAAAATTGTATTGCTGCTAATCAATGTCAAATGATGCGCCACTCCGAATCCTATATAACAATCTGTAGCACAGGGCGCAGATACATCAGACACATGATGCTGGACGATCCAATTTAAATCCACCTTTTTATGCAGGGTAGTCTTAACGTCACGGTCGCACAATGCTTTTTTTATAGATATAGATTTAAAAACATTCCATTAATGTCGAACAATCTGATTTGAATTAAATAAAGGAAAGGAAGAATCTTTTCAGATATTACTTGTAATACAACCTGATCTACCGATTGAAAAAAATTTTTTTAATTAGTAATTAATAATTACATAATTTTTTGTCGGAATCGCTGAAATAATAATCAATGTCTAAATTAATATAAAATGGCGTGGAAAATATTGTTTATTATCATAATATGAAGTTGTATTTAAACAACTTTTATTCGTTGAAGTTGATTCATCCTCACCTATCTCCTCCTCCTCCCTATTCTCATATTCATTCATACTCATACTCATACAGTTTCTTTCATGAACTAAAGTATGGGCAACAATTTTAGTAGCACTCCAAAGTTCACTTCGGCGACTTCGGCGACTTCGGCGGCAAGCAACAGCGGTTCAAGCAACAATTCAGAAAGCAATAGTTCAAAAAACAAGCCAATAAACGATAGTTTAACTTGGTATAATAAAATCAAAGATAAATTAAAAGACGGGGAAGTTTGTAATTCATTTAAAGAGGAGGGGCTTGATGAATTGATACTCAGTCTTGGGGATGAGACAAGATTTCTAAATCGATATCTCAGGCTTGATGATAATCATTTGAAACAAATCACTAAGGATTTGCGGAAATTAGATGACATTCAAAAAAATAGAAATATTACAAGCGAGGAAGAACTAAGGAAATCTGATAAATTCAATGTTTATTTATTTATTAGTAAGCTTTCAGATAATCGTTCCGACAGCCCATTTCTTCGATTTTTAGCAAATTCTCTGTTTAAAAACAAATATGGAATGTTTCACGTTGGATTAGAGATAAATGGAATTATTTTAGAATGGGGCACTGGTGACGCTGGTCCTCATCTTATTTATCCAAGGGTCAACACAGATCGATTATATGAGAAGATTGCACATATTCGCGTCTCATATTTTAGTCAAGAATTTAACCTCTTAGACGCAATGAGAAAGTTACTATTTTTTGAACCAAATATTGGCGTTGTTCCTTCAAAAAAATTACAAATAATTGCACAAAAATGTGTTAATTGGAATAAGAATTTTTATTACAGTCCATTATCTCGTAATTGCCAACATTTTATTGATGAAATGCTCGAAGCACTTGATCTAAAATTCAATCCTGAAGGCGAGTTTGAAAAGTTTCTGGATAGAATTATCAAGAATACAGATGATAGATTCTTGTTCCAAGAGAAACAGTTTTTTTCGAGACAAGATCTCGACCAATTTGCTAATCAGAATTGGATGAAGATCTCAAATTTTTGGGATCAAAGATTACTTTTATGTTATTCGGATATGATGAATAATATGTATGAGAATAATCATGACGAAAAATGGGGTCCTATAAAAAACAAATTAGAATGGGATGAAAGAGAATATGCACTAGTGAGAACAGATTAAAAGGTTGACCGAATATACTGCATGACTGAAAATAAATTCATAAAAGTCTTTTATTTTTTTTTGTCACCGGTATGAATGTATTAACATTTTATTTCCATGCTGTGAGCCACTGAAAATTGATAAAATGTTTGTTACATTGAAGTTCAATTTGTGCGATGGAAAATAAAAATTAAGACACAAATTATCAATTGGAAAATCTGTACGACAGATAGTTGCTATATTATTTTTTGTAGTGTGATCACGAATTTCACTCTAAAGCCCTCTATAGTGGACTAAATGTAATTAAGGTTGGTGGCAATTACGAACATTCTGGATTACAACTTGGTTGCAACTCTAGTTTCGAATTACGACTCAAAATTACGAAAATGCTGTAATAAAGTTGTAATACGTAATCAAGTAATACGTAATCAAAGTTGTAATACATAATTAAATTGTAATACGTTAAATTTGTAATAGATTGTAGATTGTAAATAAACGAAAATGCAAAAAATCAAGTTTTTTTTTTATAAAATGTAAAAATTCTAATTTCTTAATTTTTACTCGTGTATTTTCTATAAAAACACATTAGTAATTTATTTAAATGGAAGTTTTCATTATGGTTCTTCTTTTTTTTTGTATGTTGGATAAACATTTTACTTAATACTATAAAGTATGTCAATGAAAAATTACCATAATAGAAATTTGCCCATTTTTTTGTTTAATGTTTATTCGTGCATCTCTTGTTTGCTTATTCAAAAAATCTCATAAAGCTGCAGCAATGTTGAAAGAAAAGATTAAACAACATAAAATAAGTGGTGGTGGTCTCAAAACATATGTTGAAACTAGGTGGACAACTGTACATGAATGTGTTTCTTCGATTGTACGACTCAAAAATTGCTTAGAGGATATTCGAGATAACCATTCTGAAGTTATTACAACTCCAGCTATTTTAACAATTCTTCATAGTAGGGGATTTTTTAGCGATATGCAGCATCTTTCAGAAGTATTGTTTCCAGTTGAAGCGGCTAATTCTACACTTGCAGATGCATACGTAAATCTAATGAAAATTGCAGCAGTAATTCAAAATCTTCCCGCTGATGAATATAAGGGATCACCAAAGCCTATTGTTATTACTAAAAAAATCGATAGAACCATTACTTAATAGTATTATTAGAATGATGCCAGTTACTGGGAAGCAAAAAAAAAAAAAATTTTTTTTATAACCGGAACTAACTAAAACCACTAATATTTGTAAATGTCAGTTACCGAACATAAAGAAAGGGCAAAGTCCGATCTATTGTTGGAAAAATTTTTTTTTAAAAAAATAAAAAAAAATTTCTAATGAAAAAAATCCGATCTGTTGTTAAAAAAAAATTTCTGAATATAAAAAAAAAAATTTACTGAACGATCTATCGTTAAAAAAAAATAATTTGTTAAAAAAATAATAATAATAAAATTACTAAATGAAAAAAAAAAAATAAAAAATAAATGAAAGAAAGGCCTATTATTATGAGAGATACAATATGATTAAAAAAAAAGAGATACAATATGGTCGAAAAAAAAATCATCATCAAAAAAAAATTTTACCGAAGCTGTTAAAAAAACGTCCCTCCGGCCTATTGTTATCGGGAGTAAAAAAAAATTTGAAAAAATGCTTACTAAAAATTTAAAACATTACTAAGAAAAAATCGGGTATTAAAAAAGAAAATATTGATAATAATATAAAAGGAAAAGAATATCAGAAAATTACTAAAGAAATTATTATCGATAAATATAAAAAACATACTAAAACTAAAATAGAAAAAAAATCAGTAATAAGAAAATACTAAAAATACTAAAAAAATAAAATTCTTAGAATTTAATGGGAATAAACTAAAATCGGTTTTTAAAAACTATTTAGAAAAATAAATAGAAGATGTGTTATATCAATAGGAAAATCAATGTAAAATTTATTGTCACGAAAATCACGAAAAAAAAGAGTTATTACGGTATTATGGAATTAATGTTTGCAGATTCATTACAAAAAAAAATTCTGTACATAATTAATATGATTAAAAAATTTTATATCTCAAAAAATTACATTATATCGATATATTGTTACAGAAAAGAAAATTTCCAATATACTGATCTGATCTATTACAAAAAAAATTCCTATTAAACACCGATCTATTGTTACAAAAAAAAATACACTAACCCGGTTTATCGATCTGCTTTTAAAAAGAGTTAACATTAATTACTTATTATACTTTATTAGTATTAGCCAAAATGCCAGTTACCGAAAAGCAAAAAAAAAATCGTTTTATTTAATTAAAGTGATCAAGTGATTTATTGTTATAATTACTAAAGACAGTGTAATGATCTATTTCTTATTAGTATTAGTAATGGGAACTTTAAAAAAATTTTTTTGCGCATTAGTAATCAGATGAAATCTGCCGATCAAATTGCCCGAAAGAAGAACTATAAAATTATGGCATAGTCAGGTGCAGATGAATCACACGCTGCACAATTCAAAAATTATTTATACGGGTAATCTAAACGTCTCATTGCTACATCCTGCGATAAAAAAACTTAGACGTATAAGAAAAAATGCATTAAAAAAAATTTAGCCGTAGCTTTAATATTACTAAATAAAGATAAGTAAGTAAGTAACAGCAACATTAGTAATCCGCCAATCAACATCTTTTAATTATACAATCACAGGACAAATCAGGCGCAGGCATAATACACATTTCTTTATACAGTAATAACAAGAAAAATATTAATTATTAAGTAATTTTTTTACATAATATTATATAATAAAAACTATTTTCACGTTCACGAATAAATAATATTTTATTAATACATTTTATGAGTAAAAATGAGGTAATCGTTTCTCATGATGTAATGTTTATCAATATTTATTTTTTTATTTTTTTTTTTGGAAAAATTATTTATAAGGTGCAAATTCGATAAAAAAGAGAAATAGGGGCCTACTCTATAATCTATAATCAAATCAAGTAGGATTAAGATTAAGAATAAATTTATGAATCCATAATCATAATTATCTATATAATCTAAAATCTATAATAGAAGAATATAAATTTTTCGAAGTTTTATTTTCCTAATTTGTCTAGTAAAATCTAACCAAAAAAGAATATACTGGGCAAGTGTTTCGATGATCATTTAGACACTACTCCATAGAAATTATCTCTATTCGTACACTGTATTACATTTTTACAAAGTACAAAGCCAATACCAAATAGGAAGAAATCAGTAGCTGTTTTCTATACTACGATAAAGTATGGGCAACTTATTTAGTAGTAGCACAAAGAGCACTTCAACAAGCAATAGTAATTCAAAGAGCTCTTCAACAAGCAACAGTAGTTCAAAGAGCACTCCAACGAGCAACAGTAGTTCAAAGAGCACTCCAACGAGCAACAGTAGTTCAAAGAGCACTCCAACGAGCAACAGTAGGTCAAAGAGCACTCCAGCAAGCAACGGTTCAAACGATGGTTTAAACGACAATTCAAGCGACGACAATTCAAGCGACGACAATTCAAGCGACGATAGTTCAAGCGACGACAATTCAAGCGACGACAATTCAAGCGACGACAGTTCAAGCGACTATAGTTTTATTAGTTGGTATATGAAAATTAAAGACAAATTAAAAGATGAAGAAATTTATAATTCACTTGGGAAGAAGAAACTTAATGAATTGATATTTAGTCTTGGAGATGAAACAAAATTTCTAGACCAGCATCTCAAACTCTTCTATGACGACGATCATTTGAATAAAATAAATAGAGATTTGCGGCGATTAGATCGCCTTCAAGGAAATAATTTTATTCCAAGTGAGGAAGATGGGAGGGATTTGGTAAATGGTCTATTGCAACGCAGAAGAGAAGCTGACAAATTCAATGTTTATTTGTTTATTGAAAAGCTTTCAGATAATCGTTCAGACAGCTCATTTCTTCGATTTTTAGCAAATTATGTGTTTAAAAACAAATATGGAATGTTCCACGTTGGATTAGAGATAGATGGAATTGTTCTTGAATGGGGAACTGGTGATGCTGGTCCTCATCTTATTTATCCAAGGATCAACACAAATAAAATATATGAGAAGATTGCACATATTCGTATCAATTACGATTCAAATTTTAGTCAAGAATTTAATCATTCAACTAATACTTTCTTGCAGGATTGGCAACACTATATGCAAAATTTATTTTCCACCATTATAAACTTTATGAGAATGTTACTATATTTTGTTTTGAAAATTGGCGTTGTTCCTTCTAATAAATTACAAATCATTGCCCAAAAATGCGTTTATTGGAATAGGAATTATTATTATGATCCATTAAATCGTAATTGTCAACATTTTATTAATGAAATACTCGAAACACTTAATCTAAAATTCAATCCTAAAGGTGAATTTAAAAAGTTTTTGGATAGAATTGTTCAGTATGCGGATGATAGATACTTATTCCAAAGGAGAGAGTTCCTTTCAAGACAAGATCTCGATCAATTTGCTGATCAGAATTGGAATATGATTACAAATTCTTGGGACAAAAGATTACTTTTATGTTATTCGGATATGATGAATAATATGTATGAGTATAAATATGACGAAAAATGGGGTCCTATGAATAACAAAGAAAAATGGATAGAAAGAGAATACGAACTAAGAACGGATTAAAAGTTGATTTTCATATAACCTGTGTAGATTCATAGAAATTATGTATATTTTTATTTTCATATTGTAGTTATGTATTGATATTTATTTCATGCTGTGAACTGCTGAAAATTATTAATAAAGTATTAGCTCTCTGGAAGTTCAATGTGTGTATATGTATATGTATGTTGGAGTAAGCATGCGTCGGGTCAGCTATGCTCTTACAAACTGTAGTCCCAAAATTTTTTCAAATTTGAATCAATGGTATCTATCACATTACAAAAAAGGTTATAAACTACACTTATACAAAATTGTATATTTTCATACAAAAAGTACAATGCCTACGTTTCTGTTTGTTTACAAACGGTATGGGAATTTCTTTGATAATAATTATGTAAATTGTATGTAAGCTAGTGATCAAAATATCACGTGCATTCACATGCATTTTATTCTTATATCATATACTGACTGGTACTGAACCGAAATTCAAATCAATCAAATTTTTTTTTTTTTTGTATTTATTGTATTTTATTTTTACAAAAATATTCATGTACCAACATTCCAATTAAAAATTCCTGTTTAACAATTGATCGGTTGGTTACAATTTACGATTTAGAATAGTAGAACATATTATTTCGCTTTTACATTTTTCAAATCAGGTTAATTTTCAAATTAACACTATTTTTTTTGATCAGGATCATATATATACTGTATTGTCCGTATATTCTTAATCAACTGAACAATAATAACAATTATATTTCAACGGAACTAAAATTTGATAGAGATTCTGATAAGTTTGTTATGAATCATCGCTTAGGTTTAACTTCAACCAAAGTGAACCAGCGAATACTTTTTAAAAAAAATAGGAAAACGTACTATAACTAGTTTACATCACAAATAAGATCATGCTATTTTGACGTACTGATATTTTTAGATTAAGGAATATAGTACAAATAAACATATACTTTATTCTATTTATTCTTGTGTAAATGAAGCATGATCTTAAGTATTGCATCATATGAAACTCTAGATCGAAGCTGGAATGAACTACCGCAGTATTGAAATGCACGCATTTCTTTATTGCATATTCGATCACATATGATGAACCACGAATTTCTTTAAACTAAGAAAACGGAAACCGTTATTAAGTCACATAATTATAATACAAATTTATATTCAAAATGGCTATATATTTAATATAACTTCATATAAAAAAATGGCTCATATACAGACTTATTTAGCACAAATTTAGATATAAAAATGGTATAAATTTATGTACAAAAATAGCTTAAAGCTGACTACAACTTGAATAAGCTTAAAATAAATACAATCAAATTTTGTGCCAAATGGGCTCATTGTATAGTGCATAACTTATGGATATATATTTGGTACAAAATTGATGCGAAAACTTTTTATTGGAATTTCTCATTCCCCATTTATTGTCCGGAGCGAAGCGAAGGACAATATATGTCTACGCACTATGAAAAAAAAATCGATCACGTGAGTTTCTCTGTCCGCCACGTGATCGTCACCCAATGAAATCGGCAAATTTTAGTTTTTCGTTCCGGACTTACAACGGTTCCCGTTTCCTAGTTATTATTGTCCGGATGTCGGATGAAAATGATCGATCACGTGAGTTTCTCTGTCCCCTCACGTGATATCATCCAATGAAATCGCAAATCGGAGTTTTATCATTTTTTCGCTCCGGATTTACATTGGTTTCCGTTTCCTAGTTATAGTTTTCTATTGTAATGGAAAATCTTTTCCGGTAAAAAATGTTATTAGGGGAATGTTATAGTAATTGAAATATAATTTGAATTTTTTTGGTAAAAAAATTCCTCATGGAAATCAATTTAATAAAAAAAAAAAAAAAAAAATTTTTCTAACTCATTTTCTTTCATTTTATTATTAAATGTTTCAGAAATATGTTATGATTGCTTATTTTTCTTTATTTTTTGGATAAATTGGACAATATTTAATTATTAAAATTCTTAATGAGATCGTCGTTAACTATAAAAAATAAATTGTAAAATTTTGATCAAAAGAATGATTATTAAAACATTTCTATTAGTGACATCATGTACCAACTAATATAGTTTATTATATTTCAGAAACAAAAGTTTTAATTGATGGTAATATACTAAGCTAATAGGGAATGAAAAGAAATATGAATATTTGGTTTGTATATCGCGAAGTAATTGATAAAATGAAAAATAAAATGACAATAATTGGAAAATTTTATTATTGTGATCTTTCGTACTAAAAAATTTTATAAGATCATATGCTTGTTTTTAGGCAATTCGTGAAGTCACATATTGAAATTGCTTATTTATCTTAATAAAAACCTTGCGTAGAACTATTATAAAATTTTGACCTTTCTTGTTATCTATATATATATTGCTCGGGGCCCCATCTAACCGGTAGTGTTACGGTAGTGTTACGGTTGTAGATTACAACAAACTAAAACACAAAGTGAAAACCATTCTGAAAATTGAGCGTTTCCATATTTGTGTTCATGTGTAAAAAACGTCTAAAAAAGCATCATTTTGTCCGATTCATGTCAAAAACAAAATGGTGCTTTTTAGACATTTATTACACATGAGCACAAATATTAACAAATTTAACTTCTCTCATTTTGCAGCATTGCACGAAATAAATACAACTGCAAGTTTTCACTATTGTAACCCTATAAAAACAAAATGTGTTAAATTTATTTTAAATTTGTGCTCATGTAAAATAAATGTCTAAAAAAGCACCATTTTATCTGATTTATGTCTTATTATAAAAACAAAAATTAAACAAAATGGTGCTTTTTTAGACATTTATTACACATGAGCACGAATTTAAAATAAATTTAATACATTTCGTTTTTATAGGGTAATTCTACTAAAAGAAAATATTAATATACTAATCAGCTCGAACAATATTAAATCTTCTGTTTAAAGAAAGATCTTCGCAAAATTCAAAAAGTTTAAATATACGTGTTGTTTAAAGAACATTTATATAGAAATAATAATAATATCTCGAGGACACTAAGTTTACATTTTCTTTCCCCGCTGTCAAGTGAACTATGAAAAATTTTGTCGTTTTATTATTCTTGATTAATGTATCATTCGTATCCGGCACTCCAACTCTATGCAATGTGACATTAGTTCAAAGCAATGACACATTAGTTCAAAGCAATGACACATTATTAGTTCAAAGCGTTTCACGTGTTGCATTCGCAAATTATTTATCCTTCTCAGGTGGTTTACTTTTGACTTTCTTCTCAAATCCTTCCAAATATGATAAAACTCCCTTTGCCATATTGAAAAGATTTTTAATACGAACTGCAGTTATACAATTAATGGCAGTTTTGATTCTTATGACTTTCATGACGAACAGATTCTTCAAGTTGAATGGTTTCGCAATGCCTGAATTACTTAGATCAAGTTCTATCGCCATGTATGTTTTCTGCGCTGCTGTGATTGTTTTAACACAGTGTATAGTAGATAAATATAATCGCAATGTAACTCGAGCCATATTTTTTGTTCCCATCTACGTTATTCAAATGATTTTTCAAGTCTACATGAAATTCAATCATCCATCTTCTGGATACATGCTTGTATTTCAATCGATTAGCATTTTTTCTCTATTATTTGCCATTCCATTGTCTTGTATCCTATATTGTTTTGAAGAAGAACATGCAATTAAAAAATTATTATACATTCTTATATATCCTTATGTATTTCAAACATATCTGCACATTGGATATATATCTTTTTTTTTATATTGCGATGAAGGTTATTTATCGTCAGCGTTGTTGTTATCCGGCAGTTTTTCATTGGGTAATGTTCTTCATAGTGCTTATTACTTGATCTTCCCAAGAAAAAAATGTAAAGCTGTTCCAGACAAAGATAATAATTATAACAACATTCCCAATAACGGTGACCCTGCCACTTATGCGTACAGGGCTAAGGCATTGTATGACTGTACGTACATTTAAAAAAAAAAAATAATATTTCCTTTTGAAGAGAGAGGCTAATGAGTATCTTTGCATTGCTTATTAGACGAAGCGAATCCGGATGACAATAATGAGCTGTCATTCTCTAAAAAAGAAACCCTTAAAATTGCTGATTATAAGGGTAAATGGTGGCAAGCAATGAAAGCAGATGGTAATGTTGGAATAGCACCAAGTAATTACGTAAGTTCGCATTTCTGAAGATTATTATTGATGCATTTGATGTTCTAACATCATATAATATCTAGCTGCAAATTAAACCAAGGGAAAACTGGGAAGATGTCCCTGTCAAAGACGATAATGATGTTAGTAACACGGTTCCCGCTAACAATGAATATACACGGAGAGCAAAGGCGTTGCTTGATTGTACGTTCAAAAAAACATTTGTATTTTCTTATGAGCAAAGGACTTAAGACAGAAGTGCTATATTCAGAGCGAGTAAAATAGAACGCTTACATTCTCTGCACTATTTTAGATGACGCAGATCCGAATGACAATAGTGAGCTTTCATTCTCTAAAGGAGAAATCCTTGAAATTGCTGATCATAATGGTAGGTGGTGGCAAGCAAAAAATGTCGATGGAGAAACTGGAATAGCACCAAGCAATTATGTAAGTTTATAACCCAAGTTTTTTTATGAATATTTTTGGGAAACTAACGTCCTTCCATCACATTACATCATAAAAAGCTACGACTCGTCTAAGAAGCCAAGAACGATACTCAGTTTTTGATTTTGTATGTTAGTTTATTATTTTTAATTAATTAATTGAGACAGATGAACGATAAATATACAAAAGATTACTTTCTTTGTTTAATATAACTCTTCAAAATGGGATTTAGATATAAATTCAATTAATTTTGGTCACATGTTTAAAAAAGAATTAGTTAGGAACGATCTAATACACATACATAAGCAAATATTAAATTTATTTACGTTATGCCTTACATCTATTATACAGTCTCTGTTTTCATACAATTAAAAATGATCAAAACAAAAAATTCATCAAAATTGAAGCTTTTCAAAGGGTCGATATTGAAAAGCTTTAAAGAGTATGCATTTTAAAAATTTTAAAATATTTAAACCCTACCCTTGAATGGCCCTGATATTTATAATTATACCGAAACTATAAATTTCGGCAGCTTTGATAACGTAAAATTTCGTCCTTGTAAAATTTCAGCCCATTTTAGGAGCTAAACAAGTTAAAACGTCACGCACGTATCTTAATTTTGGCGTTTTCTAACGGATTATAATTTGTAGGTTTACATGATCTCATGTCAGTTACTGCATCCCGTCAAAATATTAATATATTACCAATATGTACAGTAAATCACAATGAATTGATCGCTTTCTTGTTTCAAGTCCCTATTGCAATGTAAAATAAAGCGCATATCTTAAGCAATATAAAGTATCAAACAATCCCATTTTCTAATCATTATATAATTATTTGTTTTTTTGATCTTGAGTCCAAGTTACTATATTCCTTAAATGGAACAACGGTTTATGATGCAAACATAACCTAAAAAATGAATGAATTTAATAAATATCACATTCCGAAAAATTTTTTAATTAACAACAAATAAGTCTATTATTTATATCACCTTATAAATAAATCATTTTTTGAATTATCTAAACTTGGAGTAATTAAAAATTTAAAACGTAAATTGATAATTTCACACATGTTTATGTGTTTAGCTCCTTCGTTGGATCTTTGTTAACAACTTGATTTGATGTACTTACTGTATTAACACTAGTATATAATGTCGATTTACAAGTTAAAAATGAAAAGAATTGTTCATTATAACTATGACTCATTATTATGTACAGTACATATAAATTCGTTCAAAAAATTTGGTAACGCATATTATTTTTAAAGCAACGAAAATTTGATAATTTGACGTATACGTATATCATAATTATTATCTACTTTTATATCAAAAATTTTTATTTTCATATTCTAATAAAATAAAAAATTTCTTCATGATAACCCAAAAAATTTTAATTTATTGCGCTTTTCAAAATTGTGCTACCCCCCTGCAGGTCATCTAATAAAAAAGATTATGAGATTATGATTACAGGACGATTACTGGACAAAAACCGGACAATTTTGTCTGGTAATTGTCCCGTAATTGTCCTATAATCATCCTATAATCGTCCTATAATCGTAATCACTCAGTAATTGTCCAGTAATTGTCCTGTAATCATAATCATCAAGTAATTATAACGTATACAGAATTCTGAAAACTGTGATAATAAAATAAATGAAAAAAAGTCTAGAGTGAAATTTATATTTCTACTGATCAATAAATATATATAATAAACCCGGGTAAGATTTGATATATATTGCTCGCCCCAAATTGAAAATTTTTTCACAATGTTAAACAATGCTGAAATTTTATTACGTCTTGTAGGACTGCGGTCTTTCGGTCCTGCATCGTATACAATAAGACCGTCGCTCGGTCTTTTTAAGGAACGCAGTCTTATTAAGATTTTTTCTTTTTTTTTGCAAATAAAAAAAATTTTTAGCCTTAAATTTAATATAAAATCATTTATTATATGAAGACCTATCTGCAATCCGGATGAAATACGGATAAAACCACGGTTTTTATCCGGATATTCGCGGTTTATCGGGTCAAAATGCATACGAACACTAGCTTAAGAGTAAATAAAATAAATAATACTTGGACATTTTTACCATTTCTATATTTATTTTGTGTTTTTTTAGCAATGTTCTAGCTCCAGATACTACTTCTTATACTAAAAAGTGCATCAGAACAAGAAAGAAATTATTATTACAAAATCAAAATAAGCTTTCTAATTCCCTATTCATTATTTTATTTACATATGCTGTATATACAATACGTACTATTTATTCCATCGGTATTATGTATACATCGATGAATTTTTTTGTAAATTATTCCACCGGTATAAAAAAAGTATAAAAAAGTATAAAATCCATCGGTGTCTACGCCATACACAATGAGATAAACCTAAATACTCCATATACACCGATGCTCTCCTCCCTTCAATATATACATACATTTGCTATACATATTAATATTAGTATTTAATGATTATGTGAACCTGCAGATTATAATCATAATTAAGATACGTAGTGTTTTATCTTGTCTAGCTCCTGAAATTTTACAAGGACGAAAGCCGATATTTATAGCTTCAGTAAAATTATAATAAATATTAAGATAGTGGGTTAGGTTTGAAGTATTTTAAAATGCAGACTCTTTAAAGCTTTTCAGTGACGACCCTTCAAAAAAAAAAGTTTTGGATTTTATCACTGAAAGATGAAAAGTTTCGATTTTGAATTTTGATTTCACCTACATTTTAATAATATGAAAATAGAGACTGTATAGATGTATGTAAGGCATAACATAAAATAGATTTAATGTTGACTTTTTTAAGATATATATCTACAGTGCCCAGAAAAAAGTGTCACCTATAAATTGGTACAATCATTGCACAAATGTACTTCTATATAAAAACTTTTTTTTATTAATCAACCCATATTTTTATGGTATATATAAGTAAAAGTTGTCCCCAATTTGAATTATACTTTGAAAATTATACGAAATTTTAATAAAAATTGATTGAAATCTTGCTTGAAAAATGAGGAATATAGAAATTTTAGGTATTATTACAACATTAAATTAAATTTTTTTATAATACTTTAATATTTTAATTAAATAGAATTACTTGTCGTAATTTTAAATATATTATTGCAAATTATTCAAAATTAATGAGATTGCTAATAAATTACACAAGTTTAAGAGAAAATTTGATATTTATTAATTGATATAAATTTTTAACTAAAGAACAAATTATGATCTATAAAAAAAGGTTAAAAACATACAAATAAAACCTTTAAACATTTTTTAGGATCGTTAATACACTAAAAAATTTGGTTAACAGTTAAATAATTTGGTAATAATCTGCAAATGATCGGCAAGCCAGTCAAATTTGCATAATAAATTCAGTGTTTTCACGGGACAATGTCCGGGACAGGTGACACAAAAAGAAATTTACTACGATCGGTGCTCAGAAAAAATGTCTAGTAGTTTTTTAAGTTACAGAATAGTCCGGGACAACCATTGCGGACATCAAAAATGTACAACACTGAATTTATTGTTAATTATTTCATTGATTTTTACGAAATTTTATAATACATAATATATTTTAAATAATTTTATTTAAAAAATAAAGTATAATAAAACATATTATTTTAACGTTGCAATAATACCTAAAATTTTCTATTTTTTCAAATGAAACTTATGATATACCAATCAATTTTTATTAAAATTTCATATGATTTTTAGAGTAAATATAATTCAACTTAAGGAACAACTTTACTCATAAAAGACAGGTTAATTATAATTAATAAAAAAAAAAATTACATAGAAGTACATTTGCGCAATAGCTGTATTAAATTATAGGCACTGTATATTAAAATATGACCGAAATTAGAATTACAATAATTATAATTGATTATATATATAATATCATATATGTAATATGATTTGAAATTTCAAGTTTAAATTATATTTTCTCTCTGCTTTGAAAGGTTATGTTAAACAAAGAAAGTAGCTTTTTACATGTTTACAAAAATTTATCTGTCTAAATTAATTAATTAAAAAATAATAATATACAAAAATAATCAAAAACTGGCGAGAACCTCCGTTATTTTTTACACTTTATTGTATCGTTCTTGCTAGATAGTTTGTAGCTTTTTATAATGTAATGCGATAAAAGACGTTAGTTTCCCAAAATTATTCATAAAAGAAGAGATGTGCTGAGTTATATAAACTTACATAATTAATTTGGACAAAACCAGTTTCGCCATTTTGGTTCCTTGCTAGTAGCCACCATTTACCATTATCATTAGCATTTTCAAGGATTTCTCCTTTGGAGAATGACAACTCATCATAACTGCTATTTGGATTTGCGTTATCTAAAAAAACAGTGCAGAGAATGTTAGCGTTCTTATTTTACTCGCTCTGATACCACATTATCTTGGCACTTCTGTTTTATAAAAAGAAATGCAAGTATTTTTTTGAACTTACAGTTATCCTTCGTCCTTGCTCTGTCTGGAATAGTTTCCCATATATTTCTTGGAAAGATCAAGTAAAAAGCACTTTTAAGAACATTACCTAGTGCAAAACCGCTGGCTAGCAACAACGCTGACGATATAAAGTCTTCATCGCAATATAAAAAAAAACATACATATCCGACGTGTAGATAAATTTGAAATACAAAAGGATATATGAAAATGTATAATAATTTTACAGACCAAAATAATTTTTCAATAATAATTAAGATGCACAATGGAATGGCAAATAATATAGAAAGAATGCTAATCCATTGAAATGCAAACATGTATCCAGTTGATGGAAAATGGTTTTTCAAGTAGACTTGAAAAATCATTTGAATAACATAGATTGGAATAAAGATAACAGCTCGAGTTACAATGCGAAAAAATCTTGTTGTGTGTGCATTGCATGAACATATTGATATCATATTTCTTCCTATAAAATGAGTCAAAGTCATCACACCGCAGCAACCATACATGGCGAGAGAACATACCCTAAGAAATTCAGGCAATACTAAATTATTCAACGTGAAGAATCTGGTCGTCATGAAAGTCATAAGAGACAATATTGCCATAAATTGTATAACTGCAGTTCGTATTAAAAATCTTTTTAATTTGGCAAAAAAAGATTGATCATTTTTGGAAGGATTTGAGAAGAAAGTCAAAAATAAACCACCAGAGAAGGATAAATAATCTGAGTAAGCGACTTGTGAAACGCTTTGAACTATGTTGTTGCATAGAGTTGGAGCGCCGGATACGAATGATACATTAATCAAGAATAATAAAACGACAAAATTTTTCATAGTTCACTTGACAGCGGGGAAAGAAAATGTAAACTTAGTGTCCTCGAGATATTATAATTATTTCTATATAAATGTTCTTTAAACAACACGTATATTTAAACTTTTTGAATTTTGCGAAGATCTTTCTTTAAACAGAAAATTTAATATTAATTTATAATACTATTTCCTTTTTTAGTAAAATTACAATAGCGAAAACTTGCAGTTGTATTTATTTCTTCTACATGCGCAGAATGTTTTTCACTTTGTGTATCAGTTTGTTGTAATTGTAATTTACAACCGTAATACCACCGTAACACTACCGGTTAGTTTGACACTTGTAGTACATACCGTAAATATACTCACCGTAAATATACTCCTGACGAATACGATTTCTATAACATGACTTGCTACATTATTGATATAAAATCTGAATTAAAAGTTATGTGCACACGGCACATTTTGTAACGTAGTATGTGCGCAAAAATTTTCGATGTGCAGAAATTTTTTTTTAAAATTAGAAAACTGATCACGATAATAATAATATTTATTATTAAAAATATGATATCATGCATCGAAAGTTATGTACGAAAATTTTCGATGAGCACAAAATTTTTTTCAAATGCCAAGTATTTCGCTTTACTCTAGTAAGTTAATGTTAGGAAACTGATCACGAAAATAATAATATTATTATTATTAAAAATACGATATAATGCATCAATAAATCGAAAACACAAGTGATGTTGCATACCATTTTCCACACTTAGCTCTACCATAAAATTCTGCTAAAGATTTGACTTCTTTTTTCATCTAATCCATCACGGTTATTAGGAGCTTCGTTTTGATCTAAAATTTTCATTGAATAATAAATATGAAGCGAAATCCAGAAATCTATTTCTTAAACTCTTATTAGTTGCTTGAGTAAATTGTTTTAATAGAGTTTTAATTAATAATATTTTATTGTTAGAAAATTTAAAAAAAATCACTTTATTGTTATTTTTCGTTAAAAAATTAGTGTTAAAAAAAAAAAATTTTAAAAAAGTCGTATTTTTTTCATTAAAAGAAAAATTTTAAAAATTAGTTTTTTCTCATCAAAAAAAAAAATCGATGTTTTTATTTTGTGAAAAAAAATTAAAAAAAATTTTTAAAAAAATGGATTTTTTCGATTAAAAAGTTAAAAAAGTTGTTTTTCATTATAAAATTTAAAAAAAAAAGTTTATAGAAATTTAAAAAATCATTTTGGTTAAAAAATTTTTAAAAAACGTAAAAGTTTGATCGATTATCTAGGCCGATCCAATTTTTATTATTCATTTTTATAAAAAAAAATGATTTTTTTTAAATTTATATTAAAATAAAATTAAATTTAACATACTCAGTAAATATTCACCAATTAAATTACATTCATTCAAGATAATTTATTTGCCGGCAATCCTTTCTGTAGGATAAATGAATCAATGATTCGGTAGAAGATGTTATCCCTCAAATAGCGTAAAGTTGTAATATTGTTAACTATACATTTTGAAAATAAAGCTAATTTCTTTCCCATTGATATTGTATTGCTTTCATCTACAGTACTAACAAACTCCAATCTGTCAAAAAAGCAGTGTTAGATTTGGGAAAAAATTGGTCATAAAACTAATCTAGTCTTGGATTGGCTGATTGGATTAAACCCGAATTTTACCAAACTAATTGACTACCCCGCGTACCCTACAAAAATGTCACGAAACGGCCGGCATTAAGAAATTAACTATGTGACAAATAATGAGTGACAAATAGGATTTCACACCTCTGTCCCCGGCTAGATACTTAGAAAACAAGGAAGGGTGTGACGCATGTGACAAAAACAGTCACGTGATTTTTCGTGACATTTTTGTAGGGTACGCTGGGTAAATCAAACTAATTCTACTGCGCCCCAAAAATTTGGAGACTCCGTTACTTTTTCAAAACATTTCCAAAGATCAGTCAAGACCGATTAAGACCGCAGGACCGAGTGAGCATCTATACTTGACTCTCCATAATTAAATCAAAAATATAATTCACTTTATTTATTTATTTATTTTTTTTTTTTTGAAAAAATGAAATCATTTATCATTGGTAATATGAACGCATTATAAATCTTTTTTAGTAATTTTCCGTATGAGATTTTCGAAACACTTGAATTTTATTATTTAATGAATGAATCATATGAAAATTATTGTATCGGATTCTCGGAATAAAGCAAGTATGTTAAAGGCAAGTAAAATCTAAATAAGGTAAGTGAATTTTAATAATCTTGAACATTTTTTGCCAAGAGCCTCAAAAAAAAAAAAAAAACTTCAAAATGGGAAAACATTCAAAAAATTATTTCAGCTTAACTGATATTAAGTTTTTGAAAGTCGCCAAGTTAACTTATTATAGTATTCTATTGTAAAGGAAAATCATTTCCGGTAAAAAAAATGTAATTAGGGGAATGTTAAAAAGTTTCAAAAAATATTAATAGTAATTGAAACGTAATTTGAATTTTTTAGTAAAAAAAAATTCCTCATTATGGAAATCAAATTAATAAAAAAAAAAAATTAAAATTTTTTTTCTAACTCATTTTCTTTCATTTATTATTAAATGTTTCAGAATATCATAATGATCACAAATTTGTACAATATTATACTGTATATCACATTACTATTCACATTTATTACGATAAATATTATTTAATATTCTATTATCTATTATCAGTTATTACAGGTTAAAAAATTCATTAACTTTTTTTTTGGCACGCTACATATTCGGTCTAAAACAGTAAAACCTATTTTTAACGTAAATTTTTTGACGGTTAAAAAATTAACCCGCCATACCAAAATTAGTTTATTATTATGTAAATCTTTGTTACGATTCACGAAAATGTTTATACCACGTTTCACAAGATAACAGATATGAAAGGTTAAAAAATTTTTTTTGATTATTTTTAATTGAAAAGGAAACCAACTTTTTTTATACATATTCAAGGTTCTTTTTTAGAAACATCGCAGGGGAAATATAATAAATGTTTCGCAGTTGTTATACAGCGGCAAACCATAATAATGATGACTTCTTTTGGTAACTTTAAAATGTAAACGCCCATAGAACTTTTCCTTTTTAATAAAGAATTTTTAAATGATTGATTGAAACAAAAAGTTTAACAAAATGAACATACGCACACACGCAGATTTGGGGGTTATTAATTATTAGAGGTTTATAAGCTACCGCCGATCTTATTGTTAAACAATACAATGCGGATCTTTTTCGTGTGTTTCTATCACAATTCTAAAAAACCAAGAAACCACTCGCCAATGACACGAAAAGCACAACCATTTAGAACTCAATTAGAAACTATTTGACTTAATTAATAAATGATATAATTAAGGGCTTAGTTCTAAATACTGTTAAGTAAAATTACCTATTAATGGGTAATTTGAGTTTATCGGACTTCAGCCGATATTTTTCCCTACCTCAATACAATGGTCTAATTGGTCTTATTGTTTTACCTAATAATTATTTTAGATTATGCGCCATTTTTGAAGAGAGTCATTGTTGTATGAATCAAAATCTCTTAAACCAATTAAAGAAAAAAAATTGTTAATTAAAAACTTTGGATAAAGAAAATCAAAAAAACTTGCATTTTTAAAAGAATAATAAGATTATCATAATGTACGAAAGACAAAGAAAAAATAGCTGAATAAGCTGACCAATTAAAACGTTATTTTGTATTACTTTACATAATAGTTTCATTTCGCCAAGTAATACTTACTACTTGAATTCTGTTACAAAAAAGCTCATCATATTTTTTTTATAGTATATCTATATATATTTTTATATAGCAGATTAAAATAAAAATATAAGAAAATAATAAAAATTTTATACAGAATTTATTGTAAGTATGTGGCGGTGATAATGTTGTTGATAAAACTGCAATAAATCTCAACTATCACACAGGTCAAGATTAATACTTTTGCGGCGTAAATATATATAAGTATAGTACGTATTGTATTGTATGTAAGAAATATAACCATTGTATTCAAGCCGCAGCAACAAAATATTGTTATCAAAAAGATCATGGGTATTATTTACGGCAAGATCTGTGGAAAGTCCCCGGGAATTCATGAAAATTTTTTTTTATTTAGTTTCAGTAATACTAATTATACGCGACGCTGCAATTGTGCCGAGAATGAGCAAACTACACATGAATATAAAATAAACTTATTAAATATATTTTTATTATCCCTTAAACGGTTTTGCCGGCAAATTTGCCTGCAATTTTTCAAAATAAATTTATATCCAAATATAAAGTTTGTCAATATGATTTGGATTATCCTATAATTCCGCAGCTATATTGATCTACATTTTTAGCATCAATTGTATGGTTTTGATATGTGGTTAATGACTGCTAATCACCGAAAATTAACCTCAAAAAAATAACATCGGAATTTTTATATAATAAATTAATTTTCTTTACCATAATATTCTGCTTCATTACAAAGCATTTTAATATATTTTTTTATTTTTATTATGAAACTTCACACTCTAATGAACAAAATAGAGATGATAAAATTTAACTTTATGCATTTTTTACAAGTTCACAAAAATAATTCTTTTTTTGGGGTTCTATGTAAAGTCAAAATGCCACTTCTAAACATTAAAAATCATCATAACAAAAGTTGTTCATCATAGAAATTTCTACATATTCAATTAAGCTTTAATATAGCTGCAATCAAATCCCAATGAGATCGTCAAAGTTAAATGCAAAATTTTTCGAAATTTTTTGTCATTTAAAAAATATAACTTTTGACCAATGGTCAATCTTCAATCTTATAATATGTAATTAATAAATAATGATTATTGTCACATAAATTATGATTTAAGCTCTTTGCGAAAAAAAATTTTATTAGAATAACTTCATTTTTCATAAAATTAGATGAGAACTGAATTTTCGGTAAAATTGCAGGCAAATTTGCCTGCAATGTTTTACCGTTTAAGGGATAATAATATGCGTTAAATTTTTTGAAACACGTGAATGAGTCGAATGAGTCATAGTTATGAAATTAT